TCTATTCTATTCTATTCTATTCTATTCTATTCTATTCTATTCTATTCCTACTTACTCTACTCTACTCTATTCCTACTCTACTCTAAAATGAAATTGTAGCCTTATTTTACTGATGAAAAAATGGTTTGTGGTGAAGATATCACTGGGAAATTTTCAGAATAAAATTTTAACTTGAACTTAAATTGAAGTAAGAATGACTCCCTTAAATATACACAGCAAAGCAGAATTAGACATCTGGCATTGAGACTCAAATAGAAACTAACAACAACTACTAATGTTTGATGCCAAGTTCAACTATGTAAACTGTGCTCAGCAGTTGTAATACAAGTGGAATTGTATTCATTGCCTTCCTTATTGATAAGAGGGGGGCATATAAATTAAACAAACAAGCAAGAAAAGACCTGCAAATAGAAGTAGAGTGACTGTGGAAAAATAAAGCGAAGGCAGTACCAATAGTAAGGGGTATCTTGGGTGCAATCCCAAAACAATTAGAGCAATAGCCTGAACACCATCAGAATTGATAAAATAACCATGAGTCAATTACAAAAAGCAATTTTACTTGGAACAACCTACATCCTGTGATGATACCTTTGACATCATTAAAGAACAGCATCTGCTTATCCCAAGACCTTAGGAAAGACTTGATAGGTGGACAAAAAAGATAAATCCAGTCTAAACTTCTGGCTGACCATGCAATCAATTATCATAATAATAAGAATAGGTGGGATATATCACTAAAACTGTACCTGTTCTTTTTTACAATGCTGTTTTAAAAGTAAAATGTAGCTGTCTTTTGTTTACTTATTTTATCATGCCTTAAATTTTTCCTTTGTTGTTATTTCTTTGTTTATTGGTATTATTTTTAACAAGTAATGTATGGATTAAAACAGAAGTAGTTAATCCTGCAGCTCTCCAAACCAAACCTTGTATTTTTTTTTCAGGAAAAAAACATCATGGATTTTTATAGAGACACTAAGGAATTCAAGAATTTTTCTTTCTATGTTGTCACTGGACGCGACAAATCAAATTGCTGGTTTGAATCTGCAGCATTCCCTGGTTGGTTCTTAAGTACCTCAATTCACCCAAACATGCCTGTTGGTCTTTGTAAACAAGGAGGTACTGGCATCATTTTATTTCATTTTGAAAAAGTTGCTTCCACTCCAAAGTAAAATTTTGAAGAAAAAGGAATACAGAGGAAAGCAGAAGCGCGGGGCTATGTTGCCAGCATATTTTGTTTGTAGTAGAATGAAGCTTTAGTCATGATAAAATAAGCAATAATAATGATTTGATTAAAAATGAAATATCTAATTGTGAGTAAATTCAGGATTGCCTCTTAGTGCTGTTTTATTTCTGGCTTCCAAGGAGCATGGAAGATGCAACATGGCATTGCTGATGCAAGAGGTGAAGCTGAAGTTGATTGCTTGTCTGTAACACAACCTGAATAATTTAGTTTTGATTCAATAAAAACAGAAACAAAAATAAAAACCTGAAAGAAAAACCAGCATTTTGTTGCAAAGTTTCAATAATGTAACTTGGAGGAAACTCCAGGGGTTGGGATCTATCCTTAGGTCTTCTTTTAGATTCAGGTAGAGAATGTGTAAGGAGCAGAAGGCTGCATGGAGGCTGTTCTCCTCATAGTTAATTGGCACCTGGTAGGAAGGAAATGTTTTGAGCAAGACAATAAGGTATGGAATACCCTTGTGAAACTCGAAAAATTAGAATATCGTGCAAAAATTCATTTATTTCAGTAATGCAACTTAAAAGGTGAAACTAATATATGAGATAGACTCATTACATGCAAAGCAAGATAGTTCAAGCCATGATTTGCCATAATTGAGATGATTATGGCTTACAGCTCATGAAAACCCCAAATCCACAATCTCAGAAAATTAGAATATTGTGAAAAGGTTCAATATTCTAGGCTCAAAGTGTCCCACTCTAATCAGCTAATTAAGCCATAACACCTGCAAAGGGTTCCTGAGCCTTTAAATGGTCTCTCAGTCAGGTTCAGTAGGAATCACAATCATGGGAAAGACTGCTGACCTGACAGTTGTGCAGAAAACCATCATTGACACCCTCCATAAGGAGGGAAAGCCTCAAAAGGTAATTGCAAAAGAAGTTGGATGTTCCCAAAGTGTTGTATCAAAGTACATTAATAGAAAGTTATGTGGAAGGGAAAAGTGTGGAAGAAAAAGGTGCACAAGCAGCAGGGATGACCGCAGCCTGGAGACGATTGTCAGGAAAAGGTCATTCAAAAGTGTTGGGGACTTTCACAAGGAGTGGACTGAGGTTGGAGTCAGTGCATCAAGAGCCACCACACACAGACGGATCTTGGACATGGGCTTCAAATGTCATATTCCTCTTGTCAAGCCGCTCCTGAACAACAAACAACATCAGAAGTGTCTTACCTGGGCCAAAGAAAAACAGAAATGGTCTGTTGCTCAGTGGTCCAAAGTCCTCTTTTCTGATGAGAGCAACTTTTGTATCTCACTTGGAAACCAAGGACCCAGAGTCTGGAGGAAGAATGGAGAGGCACACACTGCAAGATGCTTGAAGTGCAGCGTGAAGTTTCCACAGTCTGTGTTGATTTGGGGAGCCATGTCATCTGCTGGTGTTGGTCCACTGTGCTTCATTAAGTCCAGGATCAATGCAGCCATCTACCAGGAGATTTTGGAGCACTTCATGCTTCCTTCCACAGATGAGCTTTATGGGGATGCTGACTTCATTTTCCAGCAGGACTTGGCACCTGCCCACACTGCCAAAAGCACCAAAACCTGGTTCAATGACTGTGGGATTACTGTGCTTGATTGGCCAGCAAATTCGCCTGACCTGAACCCCATAGAGTGAAGGCCGCTATTGAAGCATCCTGGTCTTCCATAACACCACAGCAGTGCCACAGGCTAATAGCTTATATACCACACTGCATTGAGGCAGTAATCGCTGCAAAAGAGTACTGAGTACATATGCATGCTTATATTTTTCAGAGGTCCGATATTGTTCTATGTACAATCCTTGTTTTAGTGATTGCATGTAATATTCTAATTTTCTGAGATTGTGGATTTGGGGTTTTCATGAGCTGTAAGCCATAATCATCACAATTATGACAAATCACGGCTTGAACTATCTTGCTTTATATGTAATGAGTCTATCTCATATAGTAGTTTCACCTTTTAAGGTGCATTACTGAAATAAATGAACTTTTGCACAATATTCTAATTTTTCGAGTTTCACCTGTATGTTAGAAACCACACAATTTGTGAAATCTGACCATTGTAAGACCGGTTCCTCCTCAACTAGGAGTCCACATAGTTTAAATGCATGCACACACACAAACACAGTCATTTTTGCTTGAAATGCTTCTAATGAGAATTCTTCTCCAAAACAATATTTCCCCTTGCGGAAGGGGGAAATTGAACTAAGTATTCTTTAATGTTTTCACTTGAGGAAATGTTTTGCATTGTCCAGATAATTCCTTAAAGAAGAAAAAGCTTAATGCCAAACCATTTATGGGACAATTTCACTTAGAAGGCACACCCACCAGTGTCGTTGAGTGACTATAAAGGGTGTAAAATTTCAGAGGTGGACAGAGAAGGCCAAAGAAAGATTGTTACACCAGGACAGGTACAATCTTAATTATACTTTTCGATGTTCTGTCCATGTCTGTTTCCAGGGCTAAGAAATTCCATAGTGTTAAATTCTTTCTTGGCCAATTTTTCCATCTATTGTTGTGGTCATCTGAGGACCAGATTAGAATATGAATTAATTTTCTGGAGTTTTTAATAACCGGGTTCCTGTGACTTTTATGAGTTGCTATTGTCTTCTCTTTTTAAGAAATCATCACCCTGCTGTTTGATTTTAATCAGTTTGATCTTGAGGGTGCTATTGCTGAATTTGCTATTAAACCTCTTTGTGTGTAGGTTTCTCTGTCTCTTTGTGTTCTTTACAGAGAAAACTAATCAATTTATTAAGTAGATTTGACAAAACCTGATGCCATGATATGCTACAGGACTATTTGTTGTTTTATTCTGTAAATAATTTTCACTTTTCCAATTTTTCATTAGAAAATAGACATGTAAATCTTGAATAGGTGATAGGAAGATTTGGGAGAAATGGACTAAACCCTTTTTGCAATATAAAGTCTTTACACTCTCCCAAAGTCATCAGCCTAAGGAGGGATTTGAACTCACAGTCTCACAGTTTCTAGCCTGATGCCTTCAGCACTAGACCAAACTGGCTTTGGAAATGATATGGAAATTCTTATACATCTCCTGAATGAAGAAGGAGAAGGAGAAGGAAGGAGAAGGGGAAATAGAAAGAGGGAAGGAAAAGGAGGAAGAGGAGGAGAAGACGTTGATTGCATTTAGATTTGAAAGAGTTAATATTTTCTCTCCCTCTGAACAAAATAAGATTGCAACCTCAGATGCTTTACCTTTTCAAGAATTGAGTAATACATCTTTGCTCTACTTTGCTTTTTACCATTTGCTTTCTAAGCTAGTTTTTGATCTTCAATTCCTTTTTAGAACAAGCCTAACTCGATATAGGGTGCATCTCTCTATGTTGCTGAACTTTATTTTCCTTGGAAGCAGGAAAAATCCAGAAGCAACATTAAAAGCTGCGTAAGAGATTTGTCATATTTAAATAACTAAATTCCAAAATGTCTTCCTGCCCCCCACTGCCTTTGGTTGGAGATCCCACCCCACCAATTGATGGTGCATGATACTAACTCAATCATTCTGCATTGTTGCTTCACCTAACAGTGGCTCTTGAATCCACCTTTAAAGTTTTCCCTATTTTAGAACATAAGAGAGATACTGGTATAGGTAATTCAGGGTGTGACAAGTAGGAAATAAGGCATCCAAATTTTTCTCTAACAAACAAATCAAATATATTTATAGATTAATTAAATAAGGTTCTCTGAGAGAAATACATTTGTTAAACAATACATTAGTAAAATAATACATTTCATCAGGAAAGGAGCTGTTATTTAAACATTAGGAAGAAACATGAGATGAGATGGGGATGAATCTGTGGAGAGTATAGAATAATCTATAATAGAATAGATAATAGAAGATTTAGTAGTACTATAATATAAATGATAAGGATAGAAAAAAATATGTTTAAGAGATTCAAAAAGAGTAAAGATGATATGAAGGAAGCCAAGGTTTTCATGATACTCAGCAGCAGAGATTTTATGGGAAGTGGGAAAAATCCATGATACACAAATTTCAAAAAAAATTTAGTGTCCAGAAACACCAACAGATCTCTTTCCAGCAGAAGAAATCTCTCCATTTGGTGTCCCAAAGGTGCTTTTCTCAAGAAACAACTGGGCTTTCTTTGTTTTTCCTTGAAGATGTTTCCCTTCACATTCAAAAAGCTCCAGAACTAAAGAAGCTTCTTGGATGAGAAGCGAAATGTCTTCCAGAAAAACAAAGAAAATCCAGTTGCCTTTTGAAAAAGCACCTTTGGGATAACCATGTCCTGGCTGATTGAAAATCCCCATAGACATTTCCATTTGGTGAGTGTTCAGAATATGCTGAGTGGTATCTCTATTCTCTTTCTCTCTAGAATCACACTTTATGATGCCAACTCCTTTTAACACATTCTCTTAGGACAGTAATATTAAGTGTTGAAAATTTTTCCAAAACCTGAAGCAACAACCAACCTGGAATAACTGGGACAAATAGAAATGGAGATCCAGAAGAATAAAAGCTATAAGAAGAGCTGGGATGAGGAAATGAAGGAATTATTCCAACAGTTGAGACAACAGCAGGGTGAAAATTATTTATTATTTTTCTCCTTGTTTTTTTAAAGATATTCCCAATTTAATAATGTAAAATATATTTATCATTAAATACTTATGTAATTATGATCCATAAACTAAAAACTAAAAGAGAATGAATTTATGAATCTAAAATCTACACGTCACCATAAGATTAAGAGAGTAGATGTACTGATCTTGAGCTTTAACAACTTAGAGTGATCACACACTTTTAATAAGGAGGAAATGTTCTGAAAGAGGGAGAGAAAGAGAGAGGGAGAAAGAAAGAGAAAGGGAGAAAGAGAGAGATGAGAGAAAGAGACAGAAAGAGATGTGAGAGATACACACACACACACACACACACACACACACACACACACACACAGAGAGAGAGAGAGAGAGAGATACCTGTTTCCTAGAGAAAAGAAAATACTGGGAGCCACAAAACTTCGGTAGGCATGGCTGGGGTGTGTGTCATGTGACTGGGTGGGAGTGACATTGAGTTAGCCATGCCAAACTAGGTTTTGTGGCTCCCGGTGTTTTCTGTGGGAAATGGGTCCAAATGGCTCTTTGAGTGTTTAAGGTGGCAGATCCTTGTACAAGACAAAAGACCTCCAGCTCCAGGGTGACATGGCCCTCCAGGACACAATATAATAGGATTAACCCATCTTGCAGCAGAGCTCACCACATGGCACAATCTCCTAAGCACATTACATCAGCCAAGCTTCAACCAAACCAGGGAGCTCAGACAACCTTAGCTATGACCAGGGGTGGGATTCTACCAGTTTGGACTGGTTCAAGTGAACCAGATGTTAAATTTGCATCTGGTTTGCCAAACTGGTATTTGAACCAACCAGCTGGCCCCACCTACCCCTCCCAGGAGTCTCCAGGCAGCCCATTTTTGATGCAAGTAAGTGCAAGGTCCACGCAGAGGCTCTGGGAGGGGGAAAAAATGGGCCTTCTGGAAGTACCAGAAGTTTGAAAACGGGCCTCCAGAGCCCGGGGGAGGCCATTTTCACCCTCCCAGAAGCCCAAGGTAGGCCTCTGGACCCTTGGGAAGGTGAAAAATGGCCTTCCCGGAAGTCAAAGCTCAAGTAAACACAAACGCCCCCTCTCCCAACTCCATGTGGTCAACTGCCGAGGACCATCAATGTAGTTCTGCTTAAACCATCTTTTAAACCATCTTTCCAGTTACTCTTCATGTTACAGGAACTGGGCATGGCTAGTCTAGTGAAGAGAAGACCAGAGGAGACATGATAGTAGTCTTCCAATATTTGAGGGGCTGCCACAGAGAGGAGGGGGTCAAGCTATTTTCTAAGGCACCTGTAGGTCAGACAAGGAATAATGGATGAAAACTGACCAAGGAGAGATTCAACCTGAAAATAAAGAGAAACTTTCTGACAGTGAGAACAATCAACCAATGGAACAGCTTGCCCTAGGAAGTTGTGGGAGTGCCATCCCTTGAGACTTTCAAGAAGAGATTGGACTGCCATTTGTCAGAAATGGTGTAGGGTCTCCTGCTTGGGCGGAGGGTTGGACTAGATGACCTACAAGGTCCCTTCCAACTCTGATTATCTGTTTTCTGTTATCTGTACCAGTGTTTTCCTCCCGGCTTGGAACTGAACCATTCTTCTTTCAACAATTCCATACTATTGCCAAGTAAACTACAAGAATATGCCCTTAAATCACCAGGGATCAAGCTTGACTCAAGCAATTTTTTATCTGTATGCATCAGCAGGATTATTAAGTAAAACAGATGCTCTTACCCTACAGGACAGGCAATGAGAGAAGTGACCTCCTACTATGGCTGCTAGAAAAACCAGTTTTGCAAACTGGGTCAATTTGAAACAAACAAATACAATAGCAATAGAGCTCAGGAGTGGTTTGGCCTTGCCAGGTTCCCTACCAAGGGAAAGCCAGGAAATTGTGGGAAGCAAAAAGCAGAAGAAAAGAAGAAGATGAAAGTGTGTCTGAGGGAGGGAGGAGGAGAGAGGGGGGGAGGCAGAGAGAGAGAGGGAGAGGGGGAGACAGAGAGGGAGACAGAGAGGGAGACAGAGACACAGAGAGGGAGAGAGCGAGCAAATGGAGAGCAAATAAGACTCTGGGAGACAGCAAAGTTGGGGACAGTTTCAACTTTCAAGATCAGATTTAGAATTAGAAATCTTTCAGGTGCCACATCGATATTAATGTGGACAAAGACATAGCTCTTTAATTCCTGCTTTTCATCTAAACTATACAATCTATACCATACTATACTTTTTATTTATTTGCATCCTGCTTTATTATTTTTACAAATAACTCAAGGTGGCAAACATATTCAACACACTTTTCTTCTCCTATTATCCACACAACACCACCACTGCAAGATGAGTTGGGTTGAGAGAGAGTGACTGGCCCAAAATCACCCAGCCAACTTTCATGCCTAAGGCAGGGCTAGAACTCATGGTCTCTAGCTTTCTGGGCTGGTGCCTTAACCACTATCCAAATGTTAGCAAGAAGTAAAAACAAATATTGCAATATCACTACCCAATTAAGTTTTGTAATATACACATGAGTTCCATATTAAGTGGTGTGAAATCTAGCATTCCTTTGGCTCTTGATCTTCTCTTGAAAGGAAGGTGGGTTTCTTTGGCACAAAATAAGAATAAACCTTAAGTAGAATTTCAAGAGGAGGTTTGAATGAACAAAATAAATTCATACATAATGCACACATAAATATGACAAACAGATCATTCCAATCAGTCATTCCCCATTGCATATTTTGATCATGTAAAACAGTAATGTCCAGGGCCTTACTGACCCTTTCCTTGCATCATTGAGCTGCAACCCCCAAAATAAATGGGGCAGTTGACAAATGATACATTTGCTGAATGGAGTGCTGAACCAAACTAACTGACCGTACTTTTCCTTTGCTTGCATGGATTCATGCAGAATGAATATGTGTAAACTTATGTGTATCTTTTCCATAGCATACTATCCAGATCTGAACATGTCACATCTGAAACCCTCTAAACCACCTCATGTGCTTGAGCCTCTAAGATTAAGGGAACCCCGCTTGTTCCGAATTTGGGATATTAGTCAGAAATTCCTCTTCATGGTCAACAGCATGCTGATAGCAAACCCCCTGGATTTCAATTCACCAGGTACCAAACTCTGATAGATAGATATTATCTTCTCCCAGTATGATTGATGGAACATTTTGGGCTGTTTATTCGTTCTGAGGATTTGATGGGAGACAGTGCAAAACATCTACTGTGATGATGATGATGATGATGATGATGATGATGATGATGATGATGATG